CAGACCCAGCCAAAGTTGAAGCTATTTTGGATATGCCACCGCCGACTGATGTGAAAGGCCTGAAGAGGTTTTTGGGGATGGTCAATTATCTGGCCAAATTCTTGCCACTCCTGTCCGACATGACAGAACCTTTGCGAAGGCTTGAGGACAAGGACGTCGAGTGGTGTTGGCTTGCACAGCATGAGAAAGCATTTACCACAGTCAAAGAATACTTGGCCAAGGCCCCGGTACTGAAATACTATGATGTTACTGAAGAAGTGACAATCCAATGCGATGCCAGCATAACGGGTCTAGGTGCAGTACTGATGCAAAAGGGTCAGCCCGTTGCCTTTGCCTCGCGAGCTCTGACCGACACCGAAACGCGTTACGCTCAAATCGAGAAAGAGCTCCTCGCCATAGTGTGGTCAACCGACAAGTTCAATCAATACATACTGGGACGCGAAGTTGTACACATCGAGTCTGACCACGAACCACTAAGGGCAGTTTTTACCAAGCCAATACACAACTCACCAAAGAGACTCCAGAGAATGCTGATGGCCCTTCAGAATTACTCCCTGGATGTGCAGTATAAAAAAGGGGAACTTATGTGGGTATCAGATGCACTGAGTCGAGCATACCGCAACACCACCGAAGCCTCCAAGCACGATACAAGTCTGATCTGTACACTTGCCGAGATAGATCATTCAGAAAACCTCTCGATTGCACCATACAGGCTCGCTGAATTCAGAAACGAGATTGCCAGGGACCCAGTGATGCAAAAGCTAATCGGAGCAATCAAGGGTGAATGGCCAGTGTCAAGGAAGTCCTGTACCCCTGAGCTGACGCCTTACTATGACAAACGAAGTGAGCTTATAGAAGACAAGGGACTAGTATTCCTGGGGGAGCGATTGCTGGTACCCCCTTCCCTGAGAAAAGAAATGTTGAAGCAAATTCACCGATCACATATTGGAATCGAAGGGTGTTTACGTCGCGCTAGGGAGGTCCTCTATTGGCCCCTCATGAATTCGGAAGTAAAGGACTTTGTTTCCAAATGCTCAATCTGCCAGTCGTACCAGCCAGATCAGTGCCGCGAGGAATTGCAACCGTATCCGATCCCGTCGCGTCCCTGGTCGATGCTAGGTGCCGATTTTTTTGACCTTGGGCAACAACATTTCTTTGTCCTAGTCGACTACTGGAGTGGGTTCTTTGAAGTCCAGGAGGTTAAGGTGGCCACATCTGCTAGCGTGATAGCTGCGTGTAAAGTACAATTCGCCCGCCATGGGATACCAGACGTGCTTATTACCGACAACGGACCTCAGTTTACGTCATCGGTGTTCAGTGCATTCGTGAGAGAATGGCAGTTTGAACATAGAACTTCGAGCCCCCGTTACCCCCAGTCAAATGGCCGCGCCGAGAATGCCGCGAAGACCTGCAAGAACTTGATGACGAAAGCGAAAGCGGATGGGCAAGACCCGCTGTTAGCCCTTCTTGATTGGCGCAACACCCCAACAGAGGGTCTAGGAACATCACCCGTACAGAGACTGATGGGACGCCGCACACGCACTTTCTTACCAACCCATGAAACGCTCCTGCGGCAGCCATCACACCAGGAAACAGCCACCAAATTAGCTGAGCGCAAGAAAAGACAAGCTCAACAATACAACAAAAAGTTTCGCCCTTTAGAGGCACTAAAGTGTGGACAGGCCATCAGGATGCGGCTTCCCGGAAGGGAGGAATGGAGTCTGGGGACCTGCATGAAAGCCTTGGGGAACAGGTCTTATGAAGTTGAAGTTTGCGGCAGGCGATACCGACGCAACCGTCGGCAACTGCGCCTGACCCCGGAAACAGCACCACCTATGAGTCTGGTAGAACTAACTCCGCCCGAGTCTACCCTCAAACCGGCGCCAAATCTGACAGAGCCAGGACCTCCTCCACCGGAGTTCCATGGCGAGACCAAAACAGAGAGAATGCCACCTGAAAATGAGATGGGAACTGAGCTTGAGCCACAAAGGATTGAAACTCGTCGATCAGAACGCAGACGTCGACCGCCTTTGTGGCATCAGGATTACCATATGAACTGAACATTCAATGATTGAGCCGCTAAATAGTTGTTGGGTTCTGTTTCTATCTTTTTATGATTTCAATGAAGAACAATGTTTTATCGATTTTATGTGATTTGAACAGTGATCGAAACCGAACATTAAGTATTAATTAACTTTTGAAGATAAACTTTGTAAAAAGGGGAAGATGTCGTGAAATTGCGTTACACGGTCACGCCACTGGGCCGATGAACATCTATATATTTAGAAGACTTAGGAGACAACGAATACACACGTGGCGGCAGTCGAGTTCGCACAATAAACAACCCTTTTGAGTTCACAGAATCGTGACACGGCTGCTTATCTTCGAGTAATCAAACCATTGTAACAAAATATGAACAAAGCTCTCTGTATTTATAGGATGGTTTTAACAACAAACGAATTTACAAAAGAATTTATCTCGAGGATTATTCAACAATATTCATTTCACTTTCGGCAAATAATTGTTAATCATTGTCACTAACAACGGCGTGGTCAAGTTCAATTACCGAAGATTAATTTGCACTTTGTAAAAATAAGAAAAATAATGCGTTTAGCAAAACAGCTTTAACACATGTGAAACACATCTTTAAAATTTGGTGTAAATGGGGATATTTTTAAGATACTATACTCGGGAAACTAGTTGTCGTTTGTCGGCAAGTCGAAAGGGCGCTTTCCTCGATGTTCTGCATCACAGTTTCTGCTACAACAGAAACTGAAGACCCCATAGCTGTACAGCGTAACTGTTTGTGGCATTTACCGTTTTACTGAATGTAAGTTGACGTTTTTAAAAGGTTTAGTGAGTCCATAATGTCCTCTGTCGGTAGCGGTAGAGGGTCGGTAGATTGTCAGATTGCAGTCTCAGTACATTGTGGTGCCAATTGAAGTAGAATACTTGTAAAAAGCGATTTCACATCGAATGACACTAATTTCTAGTCCTCAGGTATCTGTACAGTCTTAGTGGCGTTAATAAAGTCCTCGGCGGATCGTAGTTTAAGTCTGGGTTTGTCGGTGAGCGGTTATAGTATTGTTGTCAGGTACTTGGACAGTTGGTATGTAGGAGAAGAACAGAAAGAAACAATAGGCCGCATCGGGAAACCAGGTTTGTGTAGTTTCGGCAGACCGTAAAGTTGCAGTGGCTGTGGTACTGAGCACCTGAGCTGGTAGTAACGTTGCTTTTGTCGTTAACTAGTGCGTCCATTTTGATGTAGTCAGTCTTTTCCATAACAACAGTAACTCGTCCTTTGTCGGCTGGTAGAATAATTATTGTCGGCTGGTAGATTAATTATTGTCGGCTTAGAACATTCGACTGACAACAACTATTCACTTGGCTCTGATGAGGAATTCCGCTCAGGTTATTAAAACGTCAGTCACCACAACCGACGGCATTCCTTCTCAGGACTACACTCACATGGACGATTGAACTACAAAAATAAAAAATTGTAAGTACAATAAAAACTTTGCTTTTTCATTTTACCCTATCACTGCAGACTTGACATCATAAGCAACCAATCAGACGATGAAACGTTTCATGGCCAACGCCCGCTTACAAAACAAAACCGTTCTTCTTACTCGAGGCTGGCAATTAGTCTTTTGAGGATTCCTTCGATCAGCCGAGGATCAAAGGTTGTCATTTATGGTCTTTTTATCTTTGACTTCTGACTGACTTTTTAATCCACAATCGATGTGTAACACTACAGATATCGGTCAATTTTAACATTTCGTCTTTCTTTATGTGATAGGTTTGAGTATTGAATACTTACAGATTGACCAAGATCATTTCAGGTACGTAATCAACGTCTGACGTTTCACTTTTGTAACCACAAGGCCTTTACAGACGCAGGTTGTTTTATCCGTCGTGTATACCGTTTATATCTCCATGCACAGCAACTACGAAGTAAGTAATTAAGAGCTCTGCCATATTCCGAAGGATTTCTATTTTCAGTTGGAACGCAAAGCACTACACGATCAGAGAGGAATAGCTAAATATCTTAGAAGAAAAATTCCTTCAATAGTGTTCGACGGCCGAGGTTTTTATCTTAAAGTCTTAAGCTGATGTTCACCCGTTGCGCTCACATAATCATACCACACAAACAAGAAATAATTAGTTCCATTATCTCCATTAATTAGTTCCGTTATTTCCATTAATTAGTTCTATTATTTCCATTGATTAGTTTCATCATCTCTTGCAAGTACCATGCATAATCCATAATTTTTCACAGTAAAAGACCAATAAATTTGAATTTGCGTGGATGCTCTATGAATTTCTACAAAAAACACTACCTTGATACTCTTCTCGAACATCTTTAAGTTCAAACATCCAAATAGTCCTCCCTTGTTTTTGCTTATCATTAAAATAAAATACAACTAATTTAAAAAGTTATATTTACTAATGAGTCCTTTCTTCTCACAACCATAATACTTAATTATAAACAATGAACCATAACGAATGGGACTATTGTTTAGCAATCCCCATTGTGAATATTGAAACAGATGATTGTCCCGAAAAAAATTACATTTCTATCTCTGGGTGATTTATTTTACACACATAATCCCCGGTGCCCTGTGGTAAATCTGTTTTAAGTTCATGTACATGAGTATAAATTTCGGAAAAAAGGAAATAAAAATGAGGATCCTTTTAAAATAGAAAATTAAATGAAGAAAAAGAAGGGCTGAAAAACTCAAAGAGAGAGGATGAGATCCAATCAGCGACAAAATCAAATGCACGATCTGTGAATGACACAGGCGGATAGAAGCTCCCAGGGATTATAAGCTCCCGTGGGTTAAAATTATTGTCCTGTTCCTTACCCCCAGGAAAGCAAGTGATAAAAAATAAAATTGGTAAATGCCGTGTTTTCCAACCGTCATTATACCAATTTTTCTGTAAGTGCAGAAGACAATACCGAGTAAGCTGTGTTTTTACCTTAAATTTACCCAGCGAAAATGTCTACTCGACGAATATCTGCATTTTTGGTTTGCCTGTTGTTGGTTACTCTGATGGAAGAGGCAAAACCTGTGCTTGGAGCGAAAGGAGAAGGAAAGTATAAGAAGCTATCGAACAGGGTGAAGGAACTGGAGGAGAGCATGGAGGAACTAGGAGAATGCAAAGAGGGTAAAATTTAACAATGAATACCTAGTAATAAACTTGTGACTCTCTGTATTTGAAAAAAAAACCCTCTGAAAGAAATAGCGACTAAGATGGTTTTTTTTAGGCTTTTCACGAAAACGCAGATTTAGAAATTTAACTAGGTCAAAAAAAACTGTTCTTCCTAATTAGGACAAAGTTGATAACGAATTAGCTGTGTAATTTTACTTCTCGGCAGCTTATTGAAAATTGAAAATAAGTTTTCCATTTAGTTGCTCTTATATTCAAAGCGTAGCTTCACTAAAGCGATTCATGGACCATTGTCGTAGTTTATTTTTCAGCTTGCTCAATGATCTCTGAACTGAAAGAGCGGCTCATTGCTGTAGAGGGAAAGATTGAAGAGCTGAACACAGAACTGACTACAAAATCCCATCCACTGGTTTCAGGTACATTTCCAGTAGATTCCGAACTACGATTCAGAAGGTCCAAGATGACTCGAATCCTCGCTAACTCGAATGCGTCATTAACTCGAACCAAAATTGAACTCTAGGACTTTTGTCATTCATTTGATGATTTTTTTTTCACCCCCTGTAACTCGTGCATAACTAAAGCTTCCTGCTAACTCCAAACAATTTGTCGTTCCCCTCCGGAACATTTTCTCTTAGTCAATACCTCAAACTACGTTTGTCTTTTTATATTTTTATATCTATATTTTTGGCTATCTTAAATTACCCAGAAGGACTATTTACCCAAAGCAGGTTCCGCTGATCTTCTCCTTCCCCATTCAGTTTTATCAATTTTGAGCCATCGCAGGTCATCGCGGATCCTCACAGAGGCATCTCCACCCCTCACCAACCAAAGTCTAGTCAATACTCAACGATTACCACGAATTCCAGATTTTTTTTCTTCAATTAGACATGATTGATAAATGTCTAAATGTCCAATCAACCTGCTTGAAAAACTGGAAAACGTCAAATATAAAACCAAAGCGACATCATGGCTGCTATATAAATACTTGTGGAAACTGGCTGCTTATCTCCGAGTAATCAAACCATTGTAAAAAAATATGAGCAAAGCTTTCTGTATTTACAGGACGGCTTCAGCAACAAAACGAATTTACAGACGAATTTATCTAGAGGATTATTCAACAATATTCATTTCACTTTGGGCAAATGAATGTTATTCATTGTCACTAAAAACGGTGTGGTCGAGTTCAATGATGAAATTTTACGTCGCACTTTGTAAAAATAAGACTAAGAATTTGAAATATTTCCTTCAGTAATGCATTGGTATACGAGCACATCACTTTAAGGTCTCTGGACTCTTCAAACCACCCGATTGAAGAGAAACATCTCTACACATCTCACTTCTGCTAATCGTCTGGCTATGATGTACAGTACTGAGTTAACCCGAAACATTTTGGTGTTATAATATCCGATGATGAAAAAAGAATCACCTTCCCTATTCATACCAGTAAAACATGTTTAGTGAAACCGGGTTTAACTCAACGATAATCAGAGGCAGAGGACTGAATAACTGAATTTTTCATAAGTTTCAAGAAGTCACTATTTTTCATTTCCAATGTGTTCAATTTGAAGTCGAAAAAGAAGGCTTAAGCAGATTCTATAGAGAGAGCAATTTTCAACCGTGTTTGGGAAAACAGCCTTAGCTCATCTGAAACACATCTTTAAACTTTGCTGTCAATGGGTAACATTGAGACAATTTGTCGGCGTGAAGGGGTCGAAAAGCAAATCAGTGGCAGGTAACACAGTCTACAGAACCAAAATGCACCTGTTATAACCTCCTATAATCTTATTTACAACAAATAAATGTCTACATGAGTAGTAGAGTGTTCTACCACAGGTAAAATCTCATAAGAGCCGAAATTGTGACAACTGTAATCGCATCATCGTCGCTTAAATCTGAAAGAATTATCCCCTTAATCAAACCACGATTCACTTTTGTATTACTTTAAGGAGACTTTTTTAAGATACTGTACTCAGTAGACAACTTCGCGAAACTGCTTTGACATTCAAAAGAGAAGTGTGAAAAAAAAAAAAGGAAAAAAAAGTTTGATTGAATCAGATCATGGCTTGACCAATTGAGCTAATCCAGTTGTCATCTTGATTCAGGTTTACATCATCTTTATCACTAACTGGCATTAAAAAGTTTTGGTCTGACTCTTGTTTCATAAGAGAACTCCTCTTCATTTAAGTCGGTAATTTTCAGTTTGAAAAGTGTTTCTTAATAAGCGTTTCATTATGATCAGAGGGGTAGTTCTGTTTGTAAGCATCATCTTCGCTCTTAGGTAAGTGTTAAAAGAAATAATATTTTAAAACATGAACAAAAACCCGTATGATCCTGATGCAATCTTGATTTCTTTTCACCGGAGGATGGGTAGAAGTGTTGCCGGAAAGCATTCTGGGAAACACAATCTGGGACAGAAAACGCCCATTCATCACAGCAGAGCGCGGCAAAGCGTAATAAAAAAGCAAACAAGTAAGGTCAAACAAGGAATATTTTGTTACTACGTTACTAACCTGAAGAGGATGATACTGACGAACATCATCAAAAACTGCCGGAGTTTATAAAGTACGGTATCTGTGTCTAGTTGGTAAAAAAATTGAGGTTAAAGATAAAGATTCGCCAACCAATAGTATGGCCTGGAGAGAGCATGCTTTATTTTCCATTCTGTTTTTCTAGGCGTTGCTTCCCTTGTTGCTTTTCTTTTCTTTTACAGAACAACCTCCAAAATCTTCGTACACCCCCTAAAAATTTCAAAAATTAATTTTCTCCTTAAAAACACTGGAAATAGAAAAATGCCCTCAAGGAAAACAAAACACCTTCTTTGAATAATGAACCTCGTGCGCTTGAGTCCGTGTTATTGATCGCACACCTATGACGTAGCATCTCGCTATTCAGCTCTGCCTGACACGATCGAGTCACTTGGCAACTATACGGTGAATTTTTAAAGTTGGAAGGACCTTTGTTAACGACCTCCCTTCTCCTTGTTCTTCCAGCTCCAAACTTTCTGACAGGATCAGATAACGTACCTGCTGGAATGACCAACGTGAAACAACCCGGAGGTTCCTTAACTGCTGCTGTTGGAGATGGAAAAACTGACGACACATCGGCCATTCAGGCCATCGTTAAACACGTTGCAGGTTCCACAAACAACAAGGTTTTCTTCCCTCGCGGTGAGTACCTGGTCAGCAGTGATATTGCTATAAGTGGCTCAGTGGAATTGCATGGAACCCAGAGTGGTATTGCAGTTATCAAGGCGTCGATTCCGTATGCCATAGAAATACAGAATGCTTCACCAGTAAAGCGTGTTTCACTGAAGTATCTGTATCTCGACGGAATTCTTGTAGTATTTGATGGTCAAACTAAAGGGCCATCATCTACAGGTGACATTATTATAGAGGGCTGTGTATTCTTTTCATCGACAAGTCCAACTGCAAGAAACGGACAGAAACGACAACTGATGATGATAGAGCTTGGAAACAGTCGTGTTTACAAAAACGTTTTTTTACGTGATTCAGGTGCATATGGAGTTGCTTCCGCATTTAGAAGTACTTTGAGCGTTTGGGTAATTGACAACGTATGTGGACTTGAGCTAAGTAAATTAGAGTGGTTGTCTTCCAAAGTTGAGCCAGTATCCCATTGGCGAGATCAAAAACAGAAATTAGAGTTCTTGAAGACTCATTACAATCTTAAATCTGACCAAGGCTACTTTAAAAGTTGTCTTTATGACCAGTGCGACAAAAAAATGAAAATAGCGGAAAATATATTCAACGGAAGTCCCAATACCGGAAGACACAGAGACCACGCTATGTACCTGAAAGGGTTTGATAACATGGAAGTGAAAAGCAATTACGTCAGAGGTTGGCCTGCGAGTCCATCAGGTGGTATCAAGGTTCGAAATGGAAAAAATATTTGGCTTGCTCGTAATTATGTCGACGACACAGGCATTTTGTTGTATTCACACAGAAAACGCAAGGCCTGTCTTCATGATGGTCTCAAGAACGTGATCGTCTACGGAAATCACCTGGTACAGCGAACAAGACCAGGCAGAAGAGAAAGCAGTTTAAGCTATTATGAACCCCACTCGGTTGGAAAGGATGAGAATATCAAGTACTCTGCTAACGTATTTGAGATCGTTGGGTTCAGTAACCCGACTAAGTACAGATGCATTTGGCTGACCAATGGTAATCCGTCTCAACATCATGTGTACAAAGACAACGTGTATCATGGGACTTCGACGCCAGTGAAGCTGCAAGCGGACGGAGGTACTCCATCATACGAGACAAAGGACATTGAACAAAAAATCAAAGATCTATACAAATATCCAGTATATAAACTAGACATTCCACCTTATTAAACTATGTACTTTCCCGCATTATCAGAATAGTTGTAAAGATTAACGATTCTTATTCAATGACATGTAAATGAGTGACAGGGTATTCTGCAGCTTAGCCGGAAATTTATTAGAGTGATCGAGGGGCATAATTTTAATTTACAGTATCCTTGATATTTTTCAGGCATATTTTAATATTTTAGTCACTATCCTGAACGGTACTTTCGCCACCAACGGTCCTTTGACAGGGGCACAAAAAATGTTTTCATTCACAAAAATGAATTCATCTTGTGTACGTCGAGCCTCCTTGATGTTGCCATACGCGCTGAGTGGTCTTCAGCGTTTTAACTAAAAGATGGATATTACAGGTTTTTTTAAAAAAATTCCCGCCATTTTAATAAATATACATTGTTGTTATGGATTGACAAGTGAGTCTGGGACACGCGCAGACGTTTTTCAGCTCTTTTTTTGCCATATTGCAAACAAGAGTGTGAAGGCTACAAAGTTCTGGACAGCGCTGACAGGAAGAATACCTACGCTTTGGGCGGCATTGCATGTGACGACGAAATAGAAGAAGCGTGGTACCGCCAAATGAAAAGATGTGTGGCACGCATGCACCAGGGTGGCTGAATGGACGACATCCATCCGTTGCCGAGGGAAAGGTGCACTGATCACAATTCTCACAACAATAAAATTTTTTTTCTGGGTAATTCATATATATGAACACTAACCTCTGTTTGGCGCAAAATTATTCTCGGATAATTGCCCACGAACATTATTTTTTCCGAGAAGCGAATGACTTTCGAAGAGCGAAGCTTTAGGAAAACTGTGGGCTTCGGATAACAGATGATGCCGAAGAACACATATACGCGTACATCTCTAAGCCAAATGAATGCATTTACTTTCTCTTTCTCTTTTTTCTTTATTGCTGAGCTCCTCTTCTAACATTTCCGTACCAGTGAGAACACAAGCTTTATGACTTTATACGAGAAAAAAAACTGAGTATTTTCAATCGGCTTTTGTGCAAATTTTTTTTCTGATTATAACACAGCATAACATATATCTTAATTCTAACATAAGACTATATTTGTGATGAGTAGACATTTATTTATCTTTTCAATTCTAATGTTTTTTGGTTTAGGTATCCAGGCAAGTCTGTTTCAACTGGGTTAGCGACAATTGTTTCTTTAAGCCAACATTACGAAACTGCGACTTGTTCTTCGTTTACAAGCCGGTGAAATCGCCCAGTTGCAAACTCTGTTATTGTGGCAGGTACTGGAGGATGATGGGCAATTAAAACTGAATCATGTCATAGGCTTACGGCTGAGCCTTACGATCAGATTTACTAGAACTTTACAGGGGAAAGGGGAAATATATTGATATCAGCCTTAGTACTTGATATCAGCTGGTAGCAGAAGTTCTTTCTGTAATGTGGACTTGAATGATTAAAAAGGAAAATAAATAATTCATTATTGGTCCATGGTAGATGTGCGGAAAAAGTGTGCAGTAAAAGTGTTTGGGAATCACGACCATCCCGCGATAAGTTTCAGTACGGGATGTTGAGGTGTCTTTTCAGAATAAGGGCTTCGGGAGTTCGCAATCATCTTTGCTCAACTGGGGCGATGATGCGAAAAAAAAAGGTTGGAAAAAAGCTGAAAAAAGTAAATATAGATGGTATGTGTGGGCTTTTATCTGGAGGTAGTATTTGATAAAGGTGCTAGGCGCGATTGAAAAACGGCTTAATAGAGTTAACTGAGCTACCGGGTATTGGGGTGTTCTTTTATTATCAGCAACTCAAAAAAGTTTATTGCCATTTCCTGTGATAAAGGTTTTATGTACGAGTAGCAAAAGGACATCTTCCTTCGATAGCCTCTTTTAGGTCCTCAGTCAGTGGAAGGGAGTGAAATTGCGGGCGAACGACGAACGGCGGTTGTGGTTATCAGGGCAACAGTCTAACCCCGCTGCCTCGCGTATTCAGGATAATATTACCAAAGACGTCATTAACGTAATAAGAGAAATTCAACTCCGAAGAGCACAAAAGATGCTACTTGGTTAATTTGATGTAACACTTTAAATTTCAAAAGTAAGGTATGAAGTTTTGGCTGCTATATAAATACTTGTGGAAACTGGCTGCTTATCTCCGAGTAATCAAACCATTGTAACAAAATATGAGCAAAGCTTTCTGTATTTATAGGATGGCTTCAGCAACAAAACGAATTTACAGAAGAATTTATCTCGAGGATTAATCAACAATATTCATTTCGCTTTCGGCAAGTAATTGGTAATCATTGTTACTAAAAACGGTATGGTCGAGTTCAATGATCAAAGTTTAAGTCGCATTTTGTAAAAATAAGACGAAGAGTTTGAAATATCTCCTTTAGCAGCGCATTGGTATACGAGCACATCACTTTAAGGTCTCTGGACTCTTCAAACTACCCGATGGAAGAGAAACATCTCTGTATATCTCACTTCTGCTAATCGTCTAGCTATGATGTGCAGTACTGGGTTAACCCGAAACATTTTGGTGCTATAATATCCGATAAAAAAAGAATCACATACCCTAGTCACACCAGTATAACATGTTTAATAAAACCAGGTTTAACTGAACGAAAATCAAAGACAATGTACTGAATAACTGAATTTTCCATAGATTTCAAGAAGTCATTAATTTTCATTTCCAATATCTTTTATTGCAAGTCGAAAAACAACGGTGAAGCAGATTCCATGGATAGTACAATTTTCAAACGTGTTCAGCAAAACAGCTGTAACACATCTTTAAAGTTTGGTGTCAATGATGTAACACACAATTTGTCCACGCGTGAAATGGTTGAAAAGTAAATCAGTGACAGATAACACAGTATAGCACTACAGAACCAAAATGCACCTGTTATAACTTCCTGTAATCTTATTTAAAACAAATAAATGTCTAAATGAGAAGTAGAGCGTTCTACCTTAAGAGCCGAAATTGAAACCATTGTAATTGCATCATCATCGCTTAAATCTGCTACTGAAAGAATCATCCCCTTTATCAAACTACCATCACTTATTACTTTTAAGAGATTTTTTTAAGACACTGCACTCAGTAGACAACTTCGCAAAACTGCTTTGATATTTATAAGAGAAGTGTGGAAGAAAAAACAGTTTGATTGAATGAGATCATGGCTTGACAAACTGAGCTAATCCAGTTGTCATCTTGATGCAGGTTTACATCATCTTTACCTCAGTGGCTGACATTAAAAAGTTTTGTTCTGACTCTTGCTTCATAAAAGAACTCCTCTTCACTGGATTCAGCGAGTTTTTGAAAAGTGTTTCTCAATAAGCGTTTCAACATGATCAGAGGAGTAGTTCTGTTTGTAAGCATCATCTTCGCTCCAAGGTAAGTCTTAAAAGAAATAATATTTTAAAACATGAACAAAACCTGTGTGATCCTGGCGCAATCTTGATTTCGTTTCACCGGAGGATGGATAGAAGCGTTGCCGGAAAGCATTTTGGGAAACAGAACATGGGACAGAAAACGCCAATTCATCACAATAAAGCGCGGCAAAGCGTAGTAAAAAAGCAAACAAGTAAGGTCAAACTGGAAATGCTTTGTTACTACGTTACTAACCTTAAGAGAATAATACGAACATAATCAAAAACTGCCGGATTTTATAAATAGAGCGATACGGATTTTTAGTGTTTTAGCCGCCCTAATTCGAGAAAGCTCCGACAAACAGCTTGTATTGAGAATCGTGGAGGCTTTGCCATTCATTCATCAACCTGACCGCGTAGCGTTAAAGGTGAGTGACGTATCAGCAGCTGATTGGCTATATCAGCACACGTGAAAGAATACGATATTTTTTCACGTGTGTTGTTACGGCTTTTCTTAGGGCCGGAAATCCTTGTATAACACCGCAGTTTATGTGATAAAGTACAGTATTTGTGTCTGAAGTTGGTAAAAATTGAGGTTAAAGATGAAGATTTGCCAACCAATAATTTGACCCGGAGAGAAGTCGATCATTCATTCTTTCTTTTTTATAGTTACATGCCAACTGAAATAGTATGCATTTTACTTACTTTTACTGGGTATGTTTGATGACCAAAAGTGCTAAATTTTGTGACACGAGAAAAGGAAATCTAAAGCTACTTTCGTAAAAGTTTGAATTATTTTGAAAAATACAACAGCGTTTTATGAAATACCGTGCATTAGATGAAGTGAACTGTAACCGAACTGAGTAGGTACTCTTTGTCGTCATTCATTTCTGAGCTATTTCTCTGTTTCCTGAAAGTCTTCATTTATTCGCCAAGGAAAAAGCGGAATCATTTTGTACTATTTTTCCATCGATTGACCGTGGATAGTGTTGTGCGTCGATTGTATTCCTAGCTTCGCTATTTGCTGCGATGATGGTCAATGCGCGAACCTTTCCGATGAGTCGAGGGTAACTACTAGAGCTTATTACTGCCTATTGTTAATATGGTTGAGTCCACAGTAAATTCTGTATGCGGTTTTCGAGGCACGGATACATTTTCGGAGTGATAATATGATTAACACAGCAGTCAGACGTCTGCGTGTGTGGGAACATTGAAACGAGGCCACTCGATTTATTACTTTCAGGCCAAAGAACCTCAGCGCAAATAAGATGGTTATGGCGTTTTAAAAATTCAAAACAAAATGATGCATGAACAGGAAAAGTATCAAATTCTCCATTTCCCAACGTAGGTTTTTCTTTGCGGATCCATATGGGTAGTCCAAGTCATTTTCAGTACTTGCGTGTAACAATGGTTTTCTCTTATATTTTCCTGCAAAATTTTGCGCGAGAAATTGTCGCGCAGCCGGCCAAAATTGATCTCTCAGAGCATGCCCGACGATGGTACGTTGTGTTGGAGTAACGCGATTGCATGTGTTGACGGTCAATCAATGAAAAGATGACAGAGCTGAATAAGGTCTTTTAAGTGCCAGCCCCTTTTTTCTCCGCAAATTTCGCTGAATCTTGAACCCTGTGCGCTTGAGCCCGCGTTATGGATCGCAAACCTGTGACGTAGCATTTCGTTATTCAGCTCTGTCTGGCACAATCCAGTCACTTAGCAACTATACGGTAAACCTTTTAAATTGGAAGGACCTTTGTTAAAGACCTCCCTTCTCCTTGTTCTTCCAGCTCCAAACAATCTGACAGGATCAGATAACATACCTGCTGGAACAACCAACGTGAAACAACCCGGAGGTTCCTTAATTGCCGCTGTTGGAGTTGGAAAAATATACGACATATCTGCTATTCAGGCCATCGTTAAACACGTCGCAGGTTCCACAAACAGCAAGGTTTTCTTCCCTTGTGGTGACTACCTGGTCAGCGATGATATTGCTACAAGTGGCTTAGTGGAATTGCATGGAACCCAGAGTGGTATTGCAGTCATCAAGGCGTCGGTTCTGTAAGCCATAGAAATACACAATGTTTCACTGAAGTATCTGTATCTCGACGGAATTCGTGTATAGTAGTATTTGATGGTCAAACTAAAGAGCCATCATCTTCATGTGATATTATAATAGAGCTGTGTACTTTTTCATCGACAAGTCCAACTGCAAGCAATAGGCAGAAACGATGATGGAGCTTGGAAACAGTCGCGTTTACAAAAACGTCTTTTTACGTGATTCAAGTGCATAGGAGTTGCTTCCAGATTTAGAAGCACTTTGAGCGTTTTGCGCTTAATTGGAAACGTGTGTGGAAAATATATTCAGCGAAAGTCCCAATACCGGAAGACAGAGACCACCCCATGTCCCTGAGAGGGTTTGATAAAACCTGGAAGTGAAAAGCGATTACGTCAGAGGTTGGCTTGCGAGTCCATCAGGTGGTATCAAAGTTCGAAATGGAAGAAGTCTTTGGCTTGCTCGTAATTACGTCGACGACACAAGCATTCCGTTGTATTCATTCAGAAAACGCAAGGCCTGTCTTCGTGATGGTCTCAAGAACGTGATCATCTACGGAAATCACCTCATACAGCGAACAAGACCGGGCAGATGAGAAAGCAGCTTAAGCTACTATGAGCCCCACTCGGTTGGAAAGGATGAGAATATCAAATACTCTGCTAACGTATTTGAGATCGTTGGTTCCGAAACTGAGTCGATGAGATCACCAAAAGGTGCCCAGTATTTGGTAAAGGTGTTTTCCCATATAAAGGCCTGATTGATGAGTTCAAAGGCATCACCGCAAACTGCTCCGCTTTTAAAGATGGATGCCCGTTGGAAAACCTGAAGACCGTGGGTGAGTACCTGGACAAACTGGCCTAAATACGAGACAAAAGCAGTTGCAAAGGTCGCGCAGCATTCCAAAAGTTGGATGAGTTACGCGGGTAGCGCTTATTAGTATTCGCTTGCCACATGTGAGATGGCCTACATGGGTGCCCTAGCTTTTGCATTAGAAGGACGGGCCAAGAGAGAATCTAACAATGGAAGATCTGTGGCGTCGGCTTCGCAATTTTCAGCACCAGAGTTATTCAGTAGTTTCATATGTTGCTGACTTAAAAACAAAATCATCTACATACAGGAATATATGTGATACTGCTCACTAGTGAGCGGGTTGCAACCTTTCGCCGCATTTTCTTGGAGTAACCTTAACTACTTTAAGAATCGATTGCATGCAAAACGGCCCTCGAGGCCACTAAACTAAGAAGATATGTGATATTCGTAGTAAGCAGTGTGACTATAATATCCTATGTCTGTTCAATTTCGTAAAGGACTTTATCTGAAGATACAACCGACGCTAACCCCTAGAAATAATACTAGTGTTGCAATTTTGAAAATATCAAGTTTTAATTAATAATCTGTTATGAAATCCACAATAGAAGCAAAAATGAAAGGTTTTGCTAATAAAATACGCCGCTGGGGCTCCAGGACATCATCAAATTCGGAAATTGCTATTTTTGAGTTGAAAATATACATTCGTAACGAACCTGATTTTAGGCTAAACCAATACCGTAATTTGAATTGGTTTCCACCATAATAGGAAGTAAAATAATACTTCCAAAACATGCACAAAGAAGGAAACACCGCAAAAATTATTAAACGATATTACACACCAAGAGATTAAAAACTATAATCTCTTGTGCACTGATTATTATTTCACTGTCAGTACAAAATTTGTTATTTCATTCTACCCTATCACCGCGGTCTTGACATCATACACAACCAATAAGACGATGAAACGTTTCATGGCCAACGCCCGCTTACAGAACAAAACCGTTCTCCTTACTCGAGGCTGGCAATTTGTCTTTGGAGGATTCCTTCGATCAGCCGAGGACCAGAGGTTGTCATTTATAATCGTTTCCTCTTATTAACTAACTTTTTTAGTCCATAATCAATGTGTAACACTACAGATTTCGGTCAATTTTAACATCGCGTCTTTCATTTTGTGATAGGTTTGAGTATTGAATACTAACAGATTGACCAAGATCATTTCAGGTATGTATACGCACAGGCAGGTTGTATACGCACGCAGGCTGTTTTATCGGTCTTGTATACCGTTTATATCTTCATGCGCAGTAATTATGAAGTAAGTAATTTAAAGCTCTGCCATATTTCGATGGATTTCTATTTTTAGTTGGAATGTAAAGCACTTCACGATCAAGTTAGTTTGCCGTGTGATTTGGCTTTTTCAGTCCACAGTTACTCTGAAAGTAGAAAATTGAAAAAAAAAAAAAAAAGAGTTAAAACAGTGAATTCTTAATATTTCGCCTTTCTTTTACATTCCATAGTGTGTTTGATCATATGGAATAGAGCTATCAAACTGACGAGTATTTTCTTCCTGAATGACCATCAACTTTGACGCAACTGTTTACTCTCTATTTTTTATAAGGAATAGTTGTATAACTCAGAAGTACGCTCCTTTTAAAGAAGAAAAATTCATTCAATAGTGCTCGATGGCCGAGGTTTTTAGTTTGAAGTCTTTAGCTGATGTTCACCCGATGCGTACATATAATAATACCATACTGACAAAAATAATTGGTTCCATTATTTTCTCTTGCACCATGCATAATTCCATAATTTTGCACAGTAAAAGGCCAATGAATTGAAATCGGCGAGGATGCTCCATGAATTTCTACAAAAAACACGACCTTGGTACTCTTCTTAAACATTTTTAAGTTCAAACATCAAAATAATCCTCCCTTGTTTTTGCTTATCATTAAAATGAAATACGACTAATTTAAAGAGTTACTATGGAATAGTTCCACTTCTCACAAGCATAATACTTCTAAACAATGAACCATGAAAAACTTATTTAGTATCCCCACTGTGAAGTCTTCGCCCCATTCGGTGCCGACATGCCAAATTTCAAAATTGTACCGTGGAGGAAAATTCTAAAGAATGAAATTACCAAGGCTAATCCATTGTTCTGCTCATTGCTGCTGGGATAAACAAGCGGGGCAAACTACTATCGGCACTCCTTTGAATTGTGCCGCTTTTAAAACACCAACTTACGGACCGACCCTTAACCGATAAATAACATATTTATTTTTTTTGAAACTTAACGAAATTCTTTCTGAAAGAACCCGAATGATTAGGGCTGTAAATACGGCAAGATCTTCTATAAATTGAACAATTTTTGAGCGAGTAAATGGTAGTTAAAATAGAGGTGATGCAAATTAAAGCGAGATGCTACACCGAAACATTTTCATTTGCGTAATGATAAGGGTGGCTTAAAAGGCTTCCAAACAAACTTTGAAACTTTATTTTTACGAGTACCTGTCACAATCTGACAGCGGAAATGTCTACCCGACGAATATCTGCATTTCTGGTTTTCCTGTTGTTGGTTACTCTGATGGAAGAGGCAAAACCTGTACTTGGAGGGAAAGGAGGAGGAAAATTTTCGAAGCTATCGAACAGGGTGAAGGAGCTGGAGGAGAGCATGGAGGAACTAGGAGAATGCAAAGAGGGTAAAATTTAACAATGAATACCTAATAACAAACTTGTGACCCTCTGTATTTGAAAAAAAACCCCTCTGAAAGAAATAGCGACTAAGATGGTTTTCTTTAGGCTTTTCACGACAACGCAGGTTTAGAAATAAAATTAGGTATGAAAAAAAACCTGTTCTTCCTAATTAGGACAACGTTGACAACGAATTAGCTGTGTAATTTTACTTCTCGGCGGCTTATTGAAAATTGAAAATAAGTTTTCCATTTAGTTGCTCTTATATTTAATGCTTAGCTTCACTAAAGCGATTCATAGACTATTTGCGTAATTTATTTTCAGCTTGCTCGATGATCTCTGAACTAAAAGAGCGGCTTACTGCTGTAGAGGGAGAGATTGAAGAGCTGAAGAAAGAACCGCCGACAAACCCCCCAACAAACCCCCCTCCACTGGCTCCAGGTACATTTCTAGTAGATTCCGAACTACGTTTCAAAAAGTCCATGATGACTCGAACCCTCGCTAACTCGAATGCGTCATTAACTTGAACCAAAATTAAACTCTAGGACTTTTGTTATTCATTTGATGATTTTTTTCACCCCCTGTAACTCGTGCATCCTTGTTAACCAAAGCCGAGCTTCCAACTAACTCCAAATAATTTTCGTTCCCCTTCGGAACATTTTTTTTAAGTCAATACCTCAAACCATGTTTGTCTTTTTATATTTTTATATCTATATTTTTGGCTGTCTTAAATTACCCAGAACAACTATTGGCCCAAGGCAGGTTCCGCTGGTCTTCTCCCTCCCCATTTTTATCAATTTGAGCCATCGCAGGTCATCACAGATCCTCATAGAGGCATCTCCATCCCCAACCAACAAAATTCTTGTCAATACTCGACGGTTACCACGAATTCCAGATTGTTTTTCTCCACCTAGACATGATTGCTAAGTGTCTAAATATCCAATCAAATTGCTGAAAAACGTCTCCGCTCGTCACGAATTTTTGCGGACTCAAATATAAAACCATAGTGACATTATGATAACATTGGAAAAAATTGTTAAGCGACGCTGTTTTTTGCCCAAGTTTAAATAATTCAGGTAGCAAAATTAAACTTTTAATTTCTCTACCAACGGTCCTTTGACAGGGGCACAAAAAATGTTTTCATTTACAAAAATGTATTTATCTTTTGTACGTTGAGCCTCCATGATGTTGACATGCGTGCTGAGTGGTCTTCAGCGTTTTAACTAAAAAGTGGATATTACAGGTTTTTTTTTTAAAAATTCCCGCTATTTTAATAAATGTACACTGTTGCTATGGATCGACAAGTGAGTCTGGGACACGCGCAGACCTTTTTCAGCTCTGTTTTTGCCATATTGCAAAATAGAGTGTGAAGGCTACAAAGTTCTGGACAGCGCTGACAGGAAGAATACCTACGGTATGGGCAATGCAGCATGTGACAACAACATGGAAGAAGCGTGGTACCGCTTCACCGGAGCCGCAGGCTCAAAGATGCCAGAGTCATCACCGAATAAAAACATGTGTGGCACGCATGCACCGGGGTGGCTGAATGGACAACATCCATCCGTTGCTGAGGGAAAGGTGAACTGATCACATTTCTTACAACAACAAACTTTTTTTCTGGGTAATTCATATAAATGAACATTAGCCTCTGTTTGGCGCGAAATTATTCTCGGATATTTTGCCATGGACATTATTTGTTCCGAGAAGCGAATGATTTTCGAAGAGCGAAGCTTTAAGAAAGCTGTGGACATCGGATAACAGATGATGCCGAAGGATATATAAGTCCACTCATTTATAAGCCAAATGAATGCATTTATTCTCTCTTTCTCTTTTTTCTTTATTGCTGTGCGCCGAACAAAACGATCACATTGAAAACAGATGCTGACTTTCCACCGCGACTTCAATAACAATCAAATTATTCCTTTCACAAACAAATTTATCCTTAAACACTCTCCAACTAAAATCAACTCTTAAAGGAAGACTTTCATCGCATTGTAAGCAATGTTTCAAAATTAGAGAATATCACCGAGGGAAGGGCATATTCGACCACGCGCCACATTTGAACCAATCGCGTGTCAGCGAAAACGTTTGTAAGTACAGATATTTACCGAAGAAAGTTCGCAACACACAACTTCCTCAAAGGCAAAAATAAAATTTTACATAAGGGCTGCTAAACAGAGCTCCTCTTCGTACATTTCTGTACCAGTGAGAACACAGGCTTTATGACGTTATAGGAGAAAAAAAAACTTGAGTGTTTTCAATCGGCTTCTATGTAAAATTTTTTTTTTACTAATTATGACACAGCATAACACATATCCTAATTCTAACATAAGACTATATTTGTGATGAGTATACATTTATTTATCTTTTCAATTCTAATGTTTTTTGGTTTAGGTATCCAGACAAGTTTGTTTCAACTGGGATGGCAACAGTTGTAAATGGCAAGCCAACATTGAAGTACTAAACTGCGACTCGTTCTTTATCTACAAACTGGTGAAACCGCCCACTTGCCAACTCCGTTATTGTGGCAGTGACTAAAGGATGATGGGCAATTAAAACTGAAGCACGTCACACGTTTACCGCTGAACCTTACAATCAGATTTATTAAAACTTCACAAGGGAAAGGGGACGTATACTTATATCAGCCTTAGTACTTGATATCAGCTGGTAGCATAAGTTCTTTCTGTAATGGGGACTTGAATGATTGAAAAGAGAAATAAAGAATTCATTATTGGCGCGGGAAAAGTCTGCAATAAAAGTGTTCGGGAATCACGACAATCCTCTAATTAAATTTCAAAACGAAATAAGGAGGTGTCTTTTCAGCATTAGGGCTTCAGGTGTTTGCAGTCATCTTTGCTCAACCGGGGTGATAATGCAAAAATAAAGTAAAAAAAAAGTGAATATAGATGGTATGTTTGGGCTTTTATCTGGAGATAGTATTCAATAAAGATACTCGGCAATTGAAAAACGGCTTAACAGAGTTAACTACCGGGTCATGGAGTGTTCTTTCATCATCAGCGACTCATAAGTTTATTGCCATTTCCTGTAATAAAGGTTTTATGTACGAGTAGCAAAAGGACATCTTCCTTTGATAGCCTTTTTTAGGCCCTCAGTCAGTGGAAGGGAGTGAAATTACGAGCGAACGACGAACGGTGTAACGCAATAAAAGAAAATTCAGCTCGAAGGAGAACAAAAGATGCCACTAAGTTTGGCGTTTTGCAAAAGTAAGGCATGAAGTTTTGGCTGCTGTATAAATACTTGTGGAACTGGCTGCTTATCTCCGAGTAATCAAACCATTGTAACATTTATAGGATGGTTTCAACAACAAAACGAATTTACAAAAGAATTTATCTCGAGGATTATTCAACAATATTCATTTCGCTTTCGACAAATAATTGTTCATCATTGTCACTAAAAACGGTGTGGTCGAGTTCAATTATCAAAGTTTAAGTGGCATTTTGTGAAAATAAGACAGTTCGAAATATTTCTATTAGCAATGCACTGATATATGGGCACATCACTTCAAGGTCTCTGGACTCATCAAACGACCCGATGGAAGAGAAATATCTCACATATCTCACATCTGCTAATCGTCTAGCTATGATGTACGGAACTGAATTAAACCCGAAACATTTTGGTGTTATAATATTCGATGAAAAAAGAATCACATACCCTATTCATATCAGCAAAACATGTTTAGTGAAACTGAATTTAACTGAACAAAAATCAGAGATAGAGGACTTAACGACTGAATTTTTCATAGGTTTCATTTGCAATGTGTTCAATTTGAAGTCGAAAAAGAAGGGATAAGCAGATTCTATGGAGTAAAAAATTTTTAACTGTGTTTAGCAAAACAGCTTTAACACATCTTTAAACTTTGGAGTAAATGAGGTAACACACAATTTGTCCACGCGTGAAATGGTCGAAAAGCAAATCAGTGACATATAACACAATAACACTACAGAACCTAAATGCACCTGTTATAACCTCCTATAATCTTATTTAAAACAAGTACTGAAATGTCTAAATGAGTAGTAGAGCGTTCTATCACAGGTAAAATCTCATAAGAGCCGAAATTGTGACAACTGTAATTGCATCATCGTCGCTTAAATCTGCCACTGAAAGAATTATCCCTTTTATCAAACTACGATTCACTGAAGTATTACTTTTAAGAGATTTTTTTAAGATACTGTGACAACTTCTCGAAACTGCTTTGACATTCAAAAGAGAAGTATGGAAAAAAAAAGAAAAAAGAAGACAGTTTGATTAAATTAGATCATGGCCAACTCATGATTGACTTAACGGACTGAGCTAATCCAGTTGTCATCTTAATTCAGGTTTGCATCATTTTTATCTCAGTGGCTGGCATTATAACGTTTTGAATATTGGAGTCGGTGATTTTCAGTTTGAAAAGTGTTTCTTAATAAGCGTTTCATTATGATCAGAGGGTTAGTTCTGTTTGTAAGCATCATCTTCGCTCTTAGGTAAGTGTTAAAAGAAATAATATTTTAAAACATGAACAAAAACCCGTATGATCCTGATGCAATCTTGATTTCTTTTCACCGGAGGATGGTTAGAAGCGTTGCTGGAAAGCATTCTGGGAAACACAATCTGGGACAGAAAACGCCCATTCATCACAATAAAGCGCGGCAGAGCGTAATAAAAAAGCAAACAAGTAAGGTCAAACAAGGAATGTTTTGTTACTACGTTACTAACCTGAAAAGGATGATACGAACATCATCAAAAACTGCCGGAGTTTATAAAGTACGGTATTTGTGTCTAGTTGGTAAAAAATTGAGGTTAAAGATGAAGATTCGCCAACGAATAATATGGCCTGGAGAGAAGTCGATCATTCATTCTTTTTTTATGGTTACATGCCAATTGAAATAGCGTGAATTTTACTCATTTTTACTGAGTTTGTTTTCAAGTTCAAGAAACTTGGTCGTTTGATGACCAAAGGTGCTAAAATTTCAGCACTTTTAGGAATAGGAAATCTAACGCTACTTTCGTAAAACTTTGAATAATTTTGAAAAATACAACAGCGTTTCATGAAATATTGTGCACTAGATGTAGTGAACTCCAACCGAAGTGAGTAGTTACTCTTTATCGTTATCCATTTCTGAGCTAATTCTTTGTTTTCTGAATGCCTTCATGTATTTGCTAAGGAAAAAGGGGAATAATTTTTTTACTGTATTTCCAGCTAAATTAGGCAGACAATTGCGGTCCGACGAAATGTCATGGACGAACCGTCAATAGTGTTATACGTCGATTGTAATCCTAGCTTCGCTATTTGCTGCGATAATGGTCGGTACGCGAACCTTTCCGAATAGTCGGGAGGGCAAAGGGTCACCCGTAACTACTTGAGCTTATTACTGCCTATTGCTAATAAGGTTGAGTCCAAGGTAAGTTCTCTCTGCGGTTTTCGAGGAACGGATACATTTTCGGAGGTGTAATGTGATCAACACAGCGGACAGACGTTTGGGTGTGTGAGAGCATTGAAACTAGACCACACGATATATTAGATTCAGGCCAAAGAACCTCATTGCAAATTGGATGGTCACGGTGTTTTAAAAATTCCAAAACAAAATGGTGAATGAACAGGAAAAGTCTCAAACTTTTCATTTCCCACCTTTTGTTTTCCGGATCCATATGAGTATTCCAACTCATTTTCAGTAATTGCGTGTAACAGTGATTGTCTCTTACATTTTCCTACAAAATTTCTCTCTGAGCATGCCTGACGATGGACCGCTGTGTTGGAGTAACGCGATTGCTTTTATTGCCGTCAGTCAATGACAAGATGACAGAGCTGAATAACTTCTGGGCATGCGATATTTTGAGTCGTTTCCATGCTTGATTTTCCATTCTGTTTCTTCAAGGCGTTGCTTCCCTTGTTGCTTTCCTTTAGAATCTCTAGAATCTTTGTACGCCCCCTTTAAATTTCCAAAATTCATTTTCGTCTTTAAAACACTGGAAATAGGAAAATACCTGGGTTTTAAATGCCAGCCCCTTTTTTCCCCGCAAATTTCTCTGAATAATGAACCTCGTGCGCTTGAGTCCGTGTCATTGATCGCATACCTGTGACGTAGCATTTCATGATTCAGCTCTGCCTGACACGATCGAGTCACTTGGCAACTATACGGTGATTTTTTTAGATAAAAAGGACCTTTGTTAACGACCTCCCTTCTCCTTGTCCTTCCAGCTCCCAACTATCTGACAGGATCAGATAACGTACCTGCTGGAATGACCAACGTGAAGCAACCCGGAGGTTCCTTAACTGCTGCTGTTGGAGATGGAAAAACTGACGACACATCGGCCATTCAGGCCATCGTTAAACACGTTGCAGGTTCCACAAACAACAAGGTTTTTTTCCCTCGTGGTGAGTACCTGGTCAGCAGTGATATTACTATAAGTGGCTCAGTGGAATTGCATGGAACCCAGAGTGGTATTGCAGTTATCAAGGCGTCGATTCCATATGCCATAGAAATACAGAATGCTTCACCAGTAAAGCGTGTTTCACTGAAGTATCTGTATCTCGACGGAATTCTTGTAGTATTTGATGGTCAAACTAAAGGGCCATCATCTACAGGTGACATTACAATAGAGAGCTGTGTATTCTTTTCATCGGTAAGTCCAACTGCAAGCAACGGACGGAAACGGCAACTGGTGATGATGGAGCTTGGAAACAGTCGTGTTTACAAAAACGTCTTTTTACGTGATTCAGGTGCATATGGAGTTGCTTCCAGATTTAGAAGTACTTTGAGCGTTTGGGTAATTGACAACGTATGTGGACTTGAGCTAAGTAAACTAGAGTGGTTGTCTTCCAAAGTTGAGCCAGTATCCCATTGGCGAGATCAAAAACAGAAATTAGAGTTCCTGAAGACTCGTTACAATCTTAAATCTGACCAAGGCTACTTTAAAAGTTGTCTTTATGACCAGTGTGACAGAAAAATGAAAATAGCGGAAAATATATTCAACGGAAGTCCCAATACCGGAAAGCATAGAGACCACGCCATGTACCTGAAAGGGTTTGATAACATGGAAGTGAAAAGCAATTATGTCAGAGGTTGGCCTGCGAATCCATCAGGTGGTATCAAAGTTCGAAATGGAAAAAATCTTTGGCTTGCTCGTAATTACGTCGACGACACAGGCATTTTGTTGTATTCACACAGAAAACGCAAGGCCTGTCTTCATGATGGTCTCAAGAACGTGATCATCTACGGAAATCACCTGGTACAGCGAACGAGACCAGGCAGACGAGAAAGCAGTTTAAGCTATTATGAACCCCACTCGGTTGGAAAGGATGAGAATATCAAGTACTCTGCTAACGTATTTGAGATCGTTGGGTTCAGTAACCCGACTAAGTACAGATGCATTTGGCTGACCAATGGTAATCCGTCTCAACATCATGTGTACAAAGACAACGTGTATCATGGGACTTCGACGACTGTGAAGCTGCAAGCGAGGGGAGGTACTCCATCATACGAAACAAGGGACATCGACCAGAAAATCAAAGATCTGTACAACTATCCAGTATACAAACTAGACATTCCACCTTATTAAACTATGTACTTGCACACATTATCAGAAAAGTTGTAAAAGTTAACCGTTCACGCTCTAACATCAGTATACAAGTTCTTTGCAGCACTTGAGACGTCTTGTACTGCCTGACATAAATTACCAAGTCGTTGTGCTATAATTTCGTCTCATTTAAAATTTGGTGGCGTGCTTTTCATCGATATTTTATTTAAGGTATTTTTCGCCAATAAATTTCTTTGCAGTAAAGGCACTTTACGGGGGTTGATATGGTACCTGATAAGGAACCAACCATCATCTTATTTGACGATACCTTCCAATAAGGATTCACACATGTCACTGATATCTCTAGTGTAGCCAATACACATATAACTAATTCAAATTTATTTTATTTCAGGAGTAGCAAGCAGAGTAGGCGTAATTTTCAGGCGAGCGAGTGCTCAGTGTTTTCTTCGCAAAAATTACAGTCGCCATCTTTTATTTTAAGGACAGCGGAAGGCTGGGGATAGAAATAAATTTGTACCAAAGGGGAATGAATAAAACTTTCGTTGTTTTTTGTTTTTTGTCTTTTCGCCCTTCCCCGCCCCCTTCCCCCTGATAACGTTACCTCGCTCTAATTAAACGCCTGCGCGCACTGCAAGCTGTTTCAGGAGATCATAAAAGAGTCTATCAGTATGAAGGATACAGACTTCAGATCAGTAGGTTTGATTTATATCTCTTGTATTGCTTTCCTTACCTTCCATCCAACTGAAAGATTATTTGAAATATCAAGAATTTCTTCTGCCAGAGTTTAAGATGGAAATTTTGAGCAACTGCAGAATACCCTGCCACTTTGGTCCACCACATTTACCTGTGTCGGGATAGATCGAGGCATAACACAATAGACTCTCTTCTTATTCACTGACATGTAAATGAGTGGGTATTCTGCAGCTTAGCCGGAAATTTATTAGAGTGATCGAGATGCATAATTTTACATAACAGTATCCTTGATATTTTTTTTCTGGTATATTTCAACATTTTAGTCACTATCCTGAACAGAGTCTTCACTCGATCTTTAAAATATATTTCTTGCACCATTTTTGTGTTACTGTTTTTCTTTAGCCATTGAATTTCACTAGAAAGCGAAAACTTATGCAAAACAGATAAAACCGTGCAATTTAAAAGTCAAATGATACTCAAGAGAGATGACGTAATGATTATTTTGACTTATGATTGTCACGTTGTTTTACTTTGGAAAATTATTCAAAATTCATGTTAAACGCCCCTCAGAAACACTTGAGCAGAAAAATATAAGGCGGAGCTTCAGATCGCATCTGAAAGAACGAGGACGGAAAATTATTAATTTCACGCGTATTGAAGGTATGTTAAAAATAGTTTATCTTCGATGAGGAAGATTGTAGCAATTTTGAAGGCAAAACTTCTATATCCGGATATACCTGTCGCCAATATTCAACAGATAATTTCTACTAGTTGATGTGCATAACGCTGTACATCCGGTATACATGTACTAACTTTGGAGTGACAAACGAATCCCACTTCCTCAACTTACAAAGATTAAACAAACCGACATAAGAGCTAATCCTCAATAAATCGGAACATTCGCTGATCGTTTAAGTTTCGAGCTAGTTTTTGTTTTAATTCCTGGTCAAGAATAACATCGAGTCTCACGCAAGAGAACTGCGTGCTTTCCGTTCTTCGAGTTTAACCCGGTTGTAACACTTGCAGTTCTTGCGAAACGGAAAATATCGTACATCGAAAAACTCTCGAGCCGAAAATATCAGAGAGCAAAAGGAGATACATAGACTAGCTTTGAATCAAAACCGAAATATCCTTAAATCAAACTAATGTCACTTACGGTTGAAAGTAATGCATTGACAAATAATTAAGCACTAAAATTAAATTGCTTGAAAGTGCCTTGTTATCGAGCAAGTTTAGCTGTTTTGTATTGAGCTGAGTCCAGCGGTAGGGGATGAGTGCGTTTAAAAATGCTATTCGCGTCATTTTCATTTTTCCCTCTCAAGAGGAAACATTACATTCTCTCCGTTTCATTTTCTATTTGTGATGCCAGGAATTTCATAATGACAGAAATCAGCTTGAATTGTTTACCTGTTGGAATGACATCAGTGGGGAAGAATGTCTATCCAGTCGTCAACACGTTGGATGAGTCCGATGATAAAGGAAATGACGTCACAACTGAGAATTTTGAAGGTAAATATTAATAAGACGTGACTTTCTGCATCGGAAGTGATCGCATTATTTTTACGTTTTGAACAAGAGTCTAGGAAGGCCTGTACATATATTACGAGATAGTGTGGACCTCCGCCGACCAAAAAAACTCACGCGTGTCCTCGCGTGCCTCCTCTCCCACGGTCGTGCACCCGCTCTTAGCAAAAGTCTTCGATTTTCCGTTTAAACCATTTCCCTTTTTTCACAAATTCTAAAGCATGTAAAGTTCTGGGTTTGGTAAAAATAAGATTGTCTTCGTATTCACTGCCAATTTTTTATTTATTTATTTTTTTACATCTCCTTGAACCCTATAAACATGACATGAAGAAAGTGTCAAACCTCTTAACCAGACAAGTGATTCGCAATACTGCTTCATAGTTGCAATACAATGAACTAGCCTCTCGAAACCAAGCATGTATCGCAATTAAAAGCTGAACCCTGACAAATGCTGCATAATCGGATAAACCAGCGGCCCCTCAAAAAACATCAAACACAATTTGGCACGCTAATGTAAAGTTGAGCTGCAAAGTGCACCTTTTGCTGAAAATAAGTAAGAAGTAGGTATTTTACCTTCGATATGGCGCTGATGTGAAATTATACTGTTTCACAGTTTATCAAAAACCGTCTTTTGATCAATTTTATCTCATATTTTTTCATCAGGAGTTGATCCATGTGTACTGACGGGCTACCGTGAAATGGATGGAAGCACAAATGAGCAAGAAGAGGTGGAAGACTTGGAGGCCTCTGCTCAGGATTTCAACCTTGCACATGAGGAATTGGGATTTCAGGACGAATTGGGCTTTCTGTATCTTCCAATCAATCTACGCGCAATTTTTGATGGGTGAGAAAAAGACTTCGTTTTTATCGTCCAAATTCACTAGTTACTTTGTGTTAGTGGTAATGATTTGTAACTTCGAACCCTTCTGCCATTTGGAATGTCACGTGATCGATGTAAATTCCAAGGAGATGTGTAGTAGGAAATGTAGTCATAGAAAGCTCTAGTTTACTCAAGAATCAACGCAAAGACATTCTTCTCTGAGGCCTTGTTTGTAAAGCTTGGACAATTTTTACGACCGTGATCTATGCCAGCTATGAATTCAATCGAAGCGGTCGCCGTTAAAGCGGCTTATAATGGGTGAGTAGCTCTCTCTTATGCGGCTTATTTTCATATTTAGCGGACGCTAAATTCATACATTTCACTTCAATATTTGTCGAACTTAATTTATTATTTCTACTACGATTAGGACAATAATGGTTTTGTCCATGGAAAATCGAATAACTCTGGAGAAATTCTGCGATGAAATGCGAGATATATTCAGGTTTGGCGAAGAAGACGAATTCACTATGAAATGGCTAGACGAAGAAGGTTAGTGGATGAGTGTTCCTTCGAAACGGTGCGATCTAAATAGGATTCTATATTGATACGCTACCGATCACATCACTTTAAATTTGCCCTAAAAGGCTTGTAGTGATGTTGTAACAACATTTATATTGAATCGTGCTGAGTTCTAAGAAGCTCAATAATTTGGAAAAATTCGCTCGTAGGTTTCGTCTGTAGTGGTTTCTAAATAAACATTTTTATCGATCCCACGATGTCGAAACTGACCATATTGCCTAGAGTAATATATTTACAACTTAATCATTTTTTTAGGGCTTAATGCGAATGACTGAAGAAACGAAATCTCTCGTTGGAATTTCAGGTTTTAATTTTCTCGAAATAAAAAAAAAACATTCTTATGTCTAGTAACATCAGCTTTGTAAATTTCAAATTGATTGATGAGGCGCTTGTAAGTGAGTTATCTTCCAAAAAAGTCTCCCTCGACCACAGAGGTTTTAGCGGAATTAAATTTAATTTGCGCTTTGAGAAACCCTTTGTCATTAGGAATCACTTAAATCTTGCCCTTCAGCTTTGGTCTCGGTAGTCAAAATTCCCAGACACGTACATGTGTTGCGAAGGGAAAAAAGTTGGGAGACCAGATAGGAAAAATTTGCATATCGAGATCATCATTGTTTGGTCGGCTTGGCGAATTTGTCTGTTCAGTAACTTAACATGTTGACTTATTGCTGATATCTCGTCAACGTGAATGTAATTGGTAACTAGTCAGTGTTCCCTATTTATTGATCAACCTCTTGGTAAATAGTACAATTGATAGAGTGCTGTTTAGTGAAGTGTTTGAGTGTTAGAGTGTGATTGTCAAATAAATACCAAAGAAATCACCTTTGTCACATACGAATCCATAACATGGTCTACAGTAGCTCCTAACCAGTGAGGTCTCTGTTAGTGGCAGAGGATTCGACTGTAAAATGATTGCATTTGAAGTGCAAATCCTAGTGAAAAATACAGTTGTTTCTTGTCCTGCTCTTACGACAATTTAATTAATATATTCTATCAAATTATGTTAAAGATTATTTGTAACCATGTGTGTCTTTTCTCATTAGGCGACCCATGTACTATTTCAACTCAAGTAGAACTTGATGAGGCAATAAGATTATATGAACTTAACAGGGATTCTGAGCTTGTCGTTCATTGTAAGTACTCACAGACTATAGATTATGTGTGATAGTCTTTTCTGTGTAATTAACAGGGCATTATTGTGTTGAAGCAATATAAGTTATATACACAGCTCTTAAGTCTCACATATTAAGCATGAGACTTAAGCAAACAAATTCAATCTATGATATCATGCTGGAACTCTTATTTCTCACTCATTTAAGATTTTTGATTTGAACTGTTGATTTTGAGGTACATTTATAGCAAAGTGCTGCTTTAGTTAAGTTCCCACTGATTAAGTCTTATTTTAAATACAATTTACTCCTTGATATCTTAGTGCTCATTTTGAACACTCTTCAACATTGGGAGTTCTTGCATGTTATCATTTTTTCACAATTTTCCATGAGAGCATGTCAGCATGTGCTATACCTTCTTGAGGATGTCCATGGCTTCACAATCCAAGGCTTTGGGGCAAAAATATATTTCTCATTTTTTTGCCAGTAAACTTCTACTTAATGGGAATAATTTTATTCCTCTTTACTCTTCAGTGTTTAAAGGTATTCCAGACGAACCAGGTCGACTATGTGATGGTGAAACAAGTGAGTGATAAAAACCTCTTTCTAACAAAGTTTTGGTCTGTACTGTTAGTGCTGTAATGGAAAAGTTTTTTTTTGCATTTGATCTATGGCTTAACTCTTTAACTCCAAAGATCTGATTGATTACTCTCCCTACTGGCTAG